CCTCTCTGTATCTCTCTGCCCCTCTCCTTCTCTGTCTCTCTCCCACTCTTTCTCTGTATCTCTCCCTCTCTCTCCCTTTCTTCCCCTTTCTCTCTCCCCACTCTCTCTGTATCATTCTCCCCTCCTCACTGTATCTCTGTGTCTCTCTCTCTGTCCCTCTCCCTATTTTCCCCTCATTCCCCATTTCTATCTCTCTCCGCCCTCTCTGTATCTCTCTGTGTGTCTCTTGCTCCCCCTCTATATTTCTCTCTGTATGTCTCTCTCTCCCCTCCCTATCTTCCCTTCTCTCCCCCCCCCCTCTTGTATCACTCTGTGCGTGTCTATGTCTCTCTGGCCCGCTGTGTGTGTGTGGGGGGGGGGGAGCCATGGCTGGGCCAAGCCAGCAAGCTCTCTTTCAGGCTGTTGGCTATTCCTTTTCTTTCTTCATTTTAGAAATCCAGGCTGGCTGAGAAATGATCGCTAGTTGCAGCAGAGGCTTCCCTTCGAGCAACCCTCCTCCTCCTCCCCCTCCTTCTCCTCTCACAACCTCCTGGCCAGCTGTGGCGGGGCCAGGAGGATGCACATGCTTGGGGAGACCCTGTTATCTACTCTGATTGACAGATGATAGACATCTCTTTCTACTCTGCTATACAGGACATTAGATTTGATGTGCTCCTCAAATTAAACATAGATAAGGCAGAGAGTTGCCTTTAATGAGGTGGGTGACATACAGGTTGGATTGATAAACAAACAAACCAATAAATCAATAAACCTGGATAATCGTATCCCTTTCCTTTCTGTTCCCACTCTCAATTTCAAGGCTACCAGTTATAGATCTCCCCTATTGTGAGGAACACAGGAATCTTAATCTATGGTAGACTGTCTTGAAAACTGTTCACTAAAAAAAATGAAAAATATAGGTTGACTCCTCTTTTCTGTGACAGTCCCTCAAATATTGGGACACTCCTGTCATGTCAATCCTAGTCCTTCTCTTTGTTAGATTAGACATGGCCAGTTCCTGCATCCGTTCATCATATGTTTTAACCTTCAGCCCCCTAATCATTTTTGCTACTCTTTTCTACATCATTTTTAGAGTCTCAACATCTTTTTTATCATGGTAACAAAACTGGATGCAGTATTCCAAATGTGGTCTTACCAAAGCAGTATAAAGCAGTAGCAATACTTCATGTGACCTTGATAATATTCCTCTGTTGATATAGCCTAGAACTTCATTGGCTTTTTTGGCAGCTGCAGCACACTGCTGGCTCATATTTAAGTAGTTGTCCACTGAGACTCCTAGATCCCTCTTAAAGTTACTGCTGTTGAGCTACATGCCACCTATTCTATATCTATTCATTTGATTTTTCTTGTCTAAGGGTAAAGACATAATCCCACCAGGATTATATTTGGCATTGAATCATTTTCGAAAACACTAAAATCTTTCTTTTTCATAGACCCTGTGAAAATCCCCTTTAAATCGGGATCAGACAGGAAAAATAAGGTGCCTATGAACCATACTGGCATAAACCAATTCAATCTAACCTATACCTCCTAGCAGCAATTTCCATTGTTATTCCACTGAGTCACATTTTGGAGCAATCATGTCAATAATAAATACTGATATATTCCAAGACAAGCCTAAAATTCATTTCTGAAGGTTCAGCCTCTAGCTTACCAACACATGATGGTATTTCCCACTGCCCATGAAGACACTTGGCTGGGTTGGTCCCAATAATGATATATATTTTTTGGCATCTGTATTCCACGGTGTCACCATGCCTGTATGTGGATGACTCACCATTCACAAAATATCCATTTTTAATTGTTGGAGGTGGTCTACAAGTTCTTACTTCCTCTGTTGAAAGCAACCGAAAAAGGAATTATTACATAAAGGTATTAATAGTTTAGCTTCTTCAAAGAATTTGCCCCTCTGTTTCATATACCCATTGTAACTCCATTATCAATC